CCCTGAAAAGTGTGAGGTGGTTCATTTTGGAAGGACAAACTTGAAAGCAGAACACAGGGTTAACAGAAAGATTCTTAGCAGTGTGGAGGAGCAGAGGGATCTTGGGGTTCATGTCCACAGTTCCCTGAAAGCTGCCACCCAGGTGGATAGAGTTGTTAAGAAGGCGTATGGTGTGTTAGCTTTCTTTAAAAGAGGGATTGAGTTCAAAGGCCGTGAAGTTATGCTCCAGCTATACAAAAGCCTGGTTCGGCCACATCTGGAGTATTGTGTCCAGTTCTGGTCGCCTCGTTACAGGAAAGATGTGGAAGCGTTGGAAAAGTTGCAGAGGAGATTTACCAGGATGTTGCCAGGAATGGAGGGAAGGTCTTACGAGGAAAGGTTGAGAGAGCTAGGGCTTTTTCTCTTTGGGGTGGCACGGTGGTTAGCACTGCTGCCTCACAGTGCCAGGGACCTGGGTTCGATTCCAGCCTCAGGCAATTGCCTGTGAGGAGTTTGCACATTCTTCCCATGTTTGCATGGGTTTCCTCTGGGTGCTCCAGTTTCCTCCCACAGTCCAAAGATGTGCAGGCTGGGTGGATTGGCCATGCTAAATTGCCCATAGTGTTCAGGGAGGTGTAGATTAAGTGGGTTATAGGGGGATGGGTCTGGGTGGGATGCTCTGAGGGTCGGTGTGGACTTGTTGGGCTGAAGGGCCTGTTTCCACACTGTAGGGATTCTATGAACAACAAAGGATGAGAGGTGACCTCATAGAGGTGTACAAATGATCAGAGGTATAGATAGAGTGGACAGCCAGAGACTTTTTCCTAGGGTGGAGGTAGCTATTACGAGGGGGCATAGTTTTAAAGTGAGTGGAGGTAGATATAGGGGAGACGTCAGGGGTAGGTTCTTTACTCAGAGAGTGGCTGGGATGTGGAATGCATTGCCGGAGAGGGTAGTGGAGTCGGCCTCATTAGGGGCATTTAAGCTGCTGTTATATAGGCATATGGATGATAGTATAAGTTAGGGATGGAGGTTAGATAGACCTTAGGTTTAGGGTAAAATTTCAGCACAGCATCATGGGCCAAAGGGCCTGTACTGTACTGTTCTATGTTCCATGTTCTATGTTCAGTAAAATTTGACATAGTCCAAATATGTGGTCCCTGAACTCTGACTCACCAATTTCTCCTTAATTAATTTCAGTGGTCCTCTCACCTCTTGCCCAAAAACTAATTCAAATGGAATGAATTTGGTTGATGCATTTGGTGCATCCTTAATAACAAAAAGTACAAACAGAATTCTTTATCACAATCATCTGGATAGTCTTGACTATAAACCCTTAACATGGCCTTTAAAGTTTGATGCCACCTTTCTAGCGCTCCCTGTGATTCTGGATGGTATGCAGTGTATTTGAACTGTTTTATTCCCAAAGCTATCCAAACTTCCGTGAATAATTTTGATGTAAAATTTGACCCTTGATCTGATTGTTTAGCCACTATCTCAAATGAGATGTAAAAGGCTTCTACATCCTTCTCATCAAATCTAGGCAATGCTTGGATATATTTAAACAGATCCCCACCAGGCATTTGGCTACGATGGGTTTGCTCATCCTCACTATCCTCCTCACTATGTCTACCTCCCACCTTCATCTCCATCCTTTAAGTCAACTTTCCTGTCTAATTGCCAACTCCTGAAGTTCAAACTCTTTCTCTTTCTGCTGTCTGCCCTAATGCCTGTCTGTGCCCCTAATTAGCGAGTCTCTGACTACTATCACTCGCTTGGATCTTGCCTGACCCTGCTCTACAGAGAGCCAGTTGTGGTGCCACAGGCCTGGCTGCTGCTGTTATACTCCTCTGAGAGGCTATCCCCCCAACAGTATCCAAAATGGTAAAGCTGTTAGAAAGGGGAATAGCCACAGGAGACTCCTGCTCTATATGCCTGCCTGTCCTGGTCGTCACCCATCTACCTGACTGAACTTTTGGTGTGACCACCTCCCTGTAAACTAGTGTCTATCACACTCTCTGCCCTTTGTATGCTCCTCAGTGTGTAAACCAAACAATGTGGTCTGTTGGGAGCTGCAGCCAAGTCAAACTTCCTGCAGACATAGTCATCAGTGACTAGACTATTCCTTGATCTCCCACATCTGGCAGGAGGAGTACACCACTGCCCTAACTGCCATCTCTGCCTCTTTACACCAAGAAAGATAAAAGAATTTTACCTTGCCTTACTCACTGAAGCCCAGTATTCACCTAAGCCTGCACTTATACCAACTAGTTGCACTAACTGGTTACTTAAATTATAATGCAATCTTTACAAGCAGACCAAATATCCTCTTGGTTACAATAAACGTCCTAAATCTCTCTCTCTTTTTTTCGGTTAGAGGAGGAGAAGATGGAAACACTACAGTAATGTTACGTTAGGGTCTTACTGTTCCTCACACTGGGTTCTTCCTCACCACGCTGACCAATCGTGGCGACTGCTGCGACTTCTCCCAGAATGCACCTCACAGAAGCGAAGTGTCTCAGCCGTCCTCTATTGGATATGCTCTGTTTTCTGCAGCTTTTCCCATTTACATTATACAGTTCTTTTATTCTCTCTCAAAATGAACAACTTCACATTTCCTCACGTTATACTCCATTTGTCAACTTTTGCCTACTTATTCATCTTTTAAGCTTCCCTGATTGTTGATCCTGATGGAGGTGAACAGTTTTTTAAGTAGCAAGATGCATATGCATGCTAATAGGGTTCTATCCTCCTGATGTCAAGAATTTGATTGCTCTCTGAGAAGGAGGACTTAAATGCAAGAGTTTTTTGCAAGAGTGAAATTCTGTCACCCAATTAAGATATCATGCTCACTATTCTTCTTGCCATCTCAGTGAGGTGAAAATCATACTCATAATTTTTACAACATGCAACAAACTAGTCTCAACACTGACTCAGAGATAGTAAGAACTGCCGATGCTGGAGTCAGAGACAACACAGTGTGGAGCTGGAGGAACACAGCAGGCCAGGCAGCATCAGAGGAGCAGAAAAACTGACCTTTCGGGTCGGGACCCCTTCCCTTGCTCCTCTGATTCTGCCTGGCCTGCTGTTTCCTCCAGCTCCACACTGTATAGTCTCAATACTGTTGTATTGCCTTTACAATTTGCCTTTCTACTCACTTACTGCAGTACTACAGTGTCCAAGCAGTGATCCTTGTGGAGTCCCACTGGTTACAGGTCACTAACCCCTTAACTCCACTTTCTGTTTCCTGTCCATTAGCCAGCCCTCTATCCATGCCATATACTACCTCCAAGACCATGGGGTCTTATCTTATGACTTAACCCTTGGTGAGGTATCTAGCCTTCTGGAAGTTCAGATTTTTTTTTAATCTTCATTAACGGGATGAAGACGTCACTGGCTAGGCAGCATTTATTGCCCAACCCTAATTGCCCAGAGGGCAGTTCAGAGTCAACCACATTACTGTGGGTCTGGAGTCACATGTAGGCCAGGCCAGGTAAGGATGGCAGTTTCCTTCCCTAAAGGACATTAGTCAACCAGATGGGTTTTTCCCGACAATCGACAATGGATTCATGGTCATCATTAGATTCTTAATTCCAGGTATTTTATCGAATTCAAATTCCACCATCTGCTGTGGTGGGATTTGAGCCCAGGTCCCTAGAATGTTATCCGGGTCTCTGGATTTACAGTCCAGCAATAATACCACTAGGCCATTGCAACACAGCCACTGATTCACCTCTCTACACTCTGGTTGAGACTACCTCAAAAATCTCTAAGGAATTAGTCAGACATGATTTCCTTTTCATGAAGCCATGCTGACTCTGCTTGATTAGACCATAATTTTCAAATGTATTGCTGTGACTTCCTAAACAGTAGATGCCAACATTTTTTGAACAATCGTGTTAGGCTAAATCAAGTTATAGTTACCTGTTTTTTTGCCTCCCTCCTTTTTTGTAGTTATTTATTAATGGCTGTAAGATCATACCCCACACACTGTACTTGTACAGTTAATTCATTTGTTTTGTTCTGAATACTAAGTGCATTTCAGGAAAAAACCATTAATTTTCCTTTTTCACCATTTCCACCATGACCCTATGTGTTACCGTTTATTCTCTGTCCCTTCCTTTCCCACTTTGGCTCATTAGACAAACAGCTAAACCACAATGTTGCCAAAATCCATTTGCTTTAAAGCCTACATTTATCCTCTCCCAGACTTTCCACCATTGCTGCCTCTAAGCCATTAAATCATGCCTGATCCTGCCTAAGGCTGCTGAGGCTGATGGATTACCATTATGCAATTTTGTCGATAAATAGTCCAGGGAGACTAACACAATTGACCGTGAGAGCGCCTGATGCGGATGAACCAATTCAATGTAAAGTTAAGGTCAAGAAAAGATGGCTGGAATGGTGATTATAACAAAGTCAGCCAGCTGTAACTCATAGAATATGAGTTCTTTGATTGGAGCTGTTAATCTAATAAGGGAGACCTGGCTGAAATAGAAAGGTATCAGAGATATTGGTCTCCTGGATGCTGGCGAGCCATGTCAAAATGCATTTTTTAAACTTCCTTGATTGAGAAGTTAATTGTGATGGAGAAGTTAAAGAATTTTTTAAGTAGTAAGATGCAAATACATGCTTATAGGCTTCTATCTGCCCGACGACAAGAATTTGATTGCTATCTGAGAAGGAGGACCTAGATGCAAGAACTTTTCACAGTGCTGAAATTCTGTCACCCAATTAAGTTATCATGCTCGCTATTAATCTTGCCACTTCGGTGAGGTGAAAGTGATGCCCACAATTTTTGCAATATGCAACAAACTAGAATAGTAGAAAATCTCTGTCTTACTTCTCAAATATTCTCTATATTCCTGCAATCCAGTTGTGTGATGTAACTGATGGGCCACCGATCAATTGCATATTGAATCAAATATTCTGTTAGAACTTGTGTTTCATTAATATTGATATATCATAGTACAAATCTTATCATTTCTGGATTTTACCTTTTATTACTGTTTTCTATGAAGGAAGCATACAGCATCCTGAATAAATATGGAATGGAGATTTCAAAGGAGGAAACAGAAGAAGTAGATACTCTTCGATACTTTTTCAATAAATTACAAGTCAAAGCTGTGAGTATTGTACCTTTATCTTCAAATAATATGTTAGAAATCGTCAATGGAAAATCTATGGGAAATTTCATATTGAATAATATTATGAACTAATTACTAAATATATGCGTATCATTGTAATTCCTTAAGTTAAACAAAATTATTTGTGACCAGGTTTCTCAGTCTCAGCTGGATATTGAATTCTATCATGTTATGATCACTACTGATTTGGAGATTTTTACTTACTCTCAGGTCATTTATTAAACCTGCCTCATTACCCGTTACCAGACCCAAGATAGCATGTTCCCTGTTTGGCTCTATGACATTGCTCTCGGAAACTATCCCTCAAGGACTCTGAATTTGTGGTGGCAGCAATCCTTTCCAACTTGATTAACCCAAATCACCATGAAGATTAAAATCATCTTTCATTATTTCTCTCTGTATATTACTCAAAGTCATGAATAGCCTGAAGGCAGCCACCCTTGGTCCTGAAAAGTGAAACCAGTTGTCTCTAGCATCATTGACACCAGTCTTCAGCCAATTCAATTCACTCCACATGATATCAAGACACAGTTGGAGACATTGGATACTGCAAAGGCCTGGACAACATTCCAGCATTCAGCAATAGTGCTGAAGACTTGGGCTCCAGAACTTGACATGCCCCTAGCCAAGCTGTTCCCGTACAGGTACAACACCGGCATCTACCCAAGGATATAGAATCCTATCACAGATGAGTCCTGTACAAACAAAACAGGACAAATGCACCCTGGCCAATTACCGCTTCAACAGTCTACTCTCGATCATCATTAAAGTATTGGAAGGTGTCATCAACAGTGTTATTGAGCTGCTCCTGCTCAGCAATAATGTGCTCACTAATGCCCAATTTGGGTTCTGCCAGGGCCAGTCAACTCTTGATCCCATTACAGCCTTGGTTTAATAACAGACAAAGAGCAGAATTCCAGAGGTGAGGTGAAAGTGATTGCTCTTGACATCAAGGTCTCATTTTTGGGACAGACCTATAATGAGGTCAGGAGTTGAATTGCCCGATAGTGGAACCCAAACTGTGTGCCAGATATTGCTGAATAAGAGCCGCTTGATAGTATTGTCATGGAACCTACTAATGCTTTAATGATGATTGACAGGAGAATGATAGGCAAGTTGGATTTGACTTGCTCTTTGTGTACGGGACATACTTGAGCAACATTTTACATTTCTAGACAGATGCCTGTTTTGTAAATGTACTGGAACACCTTGGCTAATTTTGGAGCACATCTTCATATGATTTCTGATTGTTGTTAGGAGTTAACCTGTTTGCAGTATTCAGCGCCTTCTGCCATTTCCAGATGTCACATTGGAGTGAATCAAATTGGCTGAAGATTGGCATCTGTGATGATGGAGAAACCTGGAGGAAGCCAAGATGGATCTCCCATTCAGCACTTCTGGCTGACAGTTATTTGCTAAGATCCCCCTTCATTCAAGATGGAAATATTTGTGGAGTCTTCTCCTCCAGTGAGATGTTTAAGTGTCCACAGTATGCATGGCTGGATGTGACAGGACTGCAGAACTTAGATCTGATTTATTGGTTGTGGAATCGATTTGCTCTGTTGTCTCCTGCTGCTTACGCTGTTTGACACACAAGTAGTCCTGTGTTGTAACTTCACCGGGTTTACACCTCATTTTTGGGTAGGCACGGTGTTGTTCCTGGCATGCGATCTCACACTGTTCATTGAACCAGGGTTGATCCCTGGTTAGAAGCTAGAGTGGGGGATGTGTCAAGCCATGACATTACATATTTTGGCTGAAACCAGTTCTACTGTTGCTGATGGTGCATATTGCCTCATGGGTCACCTACGTCGATTTCCTAGATCTGTTTGAAATCAAGACAGTTTATCATTTCAGCAGCACCACACAACATTGTGGAGGGCATCCTCAATACGGCGACAGGACTTTGTCTCCACAATGACATGTGGTGGTCCCTCCTATCAATATTGAAATGGACAGATGCATCCATGACAGGTAGATTGGCGGTGACAATGACAAAGAGATTTTTCTTCTTATTGGTAAGAGTCTTAGAGTCATAGAGGTGTGCAGCATGGAAACAGACCCTTCGTTCCAATTCCGATCAGATATCCTAAATTAATTGAATCCCATTTGGCTCATATCCCTCTATACCTTTCCTATTCATGTACCCATCCAGATGCCTTTTAAATGGGGCAGCACAGTGGCCCAGTGGTTAGCACTGCTGCCTCACAGCGCCAGGTTCAATTCCAGCCTTGGGTAACTGTCTGTGTGGAGTTTGCACATTCTCCCTGTGTCTGTGTGGGTTTCCTCCCCCAGTCCAAAGATGTACAGGATAGGTAGATTGGCCATGCTAAATTGCCCATAGTACCCAGGGATGTTTAGGTTTGTTGGGTTAGACATGGGAAATCAGGGGTAGGGGAATGGATCTTGGTGCGATGCTCTTCAGAGGGGTGTTGTGGACTTGTTGGGCCACATGACTTGCTTCCACACTGTAGGGATTCTATGAAATGCTGTAATTTTACCAGCTTCCCCACCACCTCCTCTGGCAGCTCATTCCATACACGCACCATCCTCTGCGTGAAAAAAAATCACTTTTGCATCTTTTTCCCTCTCACCTTAAACCTATACCCTCTAATTTTGAACTCCCCTAGCCTGGGGAAAATACCTTGGCTATTCACCCTATTCATGCCCCTCATGATTTTATAAACCTCAATAAAGTCACTCTTCAGCCTCCAACATTCCAAGGAAAATAGCCCCAGCCTATTCAGACTCTCCCTCTAGATCAAATCCTCCAACCCTGGCAACATCCTTGTAAATCTTTCCTGAATCCTTTCAAGTTTCACAACATCCTTGAAAAAGGATGTACTGGCACTGGAGGGGGTGCAAAGGAGGTTCACTAGGTTGATTCCGGAGTTGAGGGGGTTGGATTATGGGGAGAGACTGAGTAGATTGGGATTATATTCATTGGAATTCAGAAGATTGAGGGGGGATCTTATAGAAACATATAAAATTATGAAGGGAATAGATAAGATAGAAGTAGAGAGGATGTTTCCACTGGCAGGTGAAGCTAGGACAAGAGGGCATAGCCTCAAGATTAGAGGGAGCAGATTTAGGACTGAATTGAGAAGGAACTTCTTCACCCAGAGGGTTGTTAAGCTATGGAATTCCTTGCCCAGTGAAGTAGTTGACGCTACTTCAGTAAACGTTTTTAAAGATAAGGTAGATTTTTTTTGAAAAATAAAGGAATTAAGGGATACGGTGAGAACGTGGGTAAGTGGATCTGAGTCCATGAAAAGATCAGCCATGATCTTATTGAATGGCGGAGCAGGCTCGAAGGGCCAGACGGCTTACTCCTGCTTCTAGTTCTTATGTACTTATCCTTCCATAGCTGGGAGACAGAACTGCATGCAGTATTCCAATAGTGACATAACCAATGTCCTGGACAGCCACAACATGACCTCCCAATTCCTATTGTCAATACACTGACCAATAAAGGCAAGTATACCAAATGCCTTCTTCACTATCCTATTTACTTGCTACTTCACTTTCAAGGAACTGTGAACCTGCACCCCAAGGTCTCTTTGTTTGGCAGCACTCCTTAGGACCTTGCCTTTTTTAGTGTTTACGTCTTGCCTTGATTTGCCTTTCCAAAATGCAACACCTCACATTTATCTAAAATAAATTACATCGCCATTCCACAGCATATTTGCCCATCTGATCAAGGTCCCATTGTACACTGAGGTAACCTTCTTCTCTATCCACTATACCACCAATTTTAGTGTCATCTGCAAACTTATTAATCATACCTCCTATATTCATATCCGAATCATTTCTATAAATTACGAAAGGCAGTGGACCCAGCACCGATCCATGTGGCACACCACTGATCACAGGCCTCCAGTTTGAAAACTCTCCACCACTACTCTCCCACATTTGATGGTTCCCTCACCATCTGACCAATAGGGTCAGCCCAGAAGCATTTGGTTAGTTTGATTAAAAGTGGTGTTACCAAGCCACTTGATGGAGCTGAAGTCCATCACCCAGTGTACATTCTTACCCCTTGCCACCCTTAGTGCTTTTCCAAGTGGTATTTAACATGGAGAAGCACTGTTTCATCAGTAGAGGGAATGAGGTAGATATTAAAGGTAGTAATTGAAGGAGATTTCCCTGCCCATGTTTGACCTGGTGACATGAAACTTCACAGGGTCCAAACTTAATGTTCAGGACACCCAGGGTGACTCCTTCATGACTTCCTACTCCAGTGCCACTGGGACAGACTATATACAACAGTGGTGATGGTGATACATTGGAAATTATCTGTAAGATATGATTCCACAAGTACGACTGTCTCAGGCTGTTACTTGTCTAATCTGTGGTCAGCCCACCAAATTTTGACACAAGCCCAAATGCTAGTAAGGAGATTGTAGACTCATAGAGTTATACAGCACGGAGACAGACCCTTTCCCTGTCGATCAGACATTCCAATCTGACCTACTCCGATTTGCCAGCATTTGGCCCATATCCCTCTAAACCCTTCATATTCATGTACCTATCCATATGCCTTTTAAATGTCATAATTGTACCTTCCTCCACCAATTTCTCTGGCAGCATGTTCCATACACATACCACCCTCTGTGTGAAAAAGTTACCCCTCTCAGGTCCTTTTTAAATGTTTCTGTTCTCACCTTAAACAGGGAAATATCTGTTCCTTTGTATATTCAAACTTATATATCTTCAGCCTGACGAAAGAGGCAATTGAATCTGAACAACTGTCTGAAATGGCCGAATAAACAACCTAGTTTAAGCCTATTTATGGGTGAGCAGCCAAAGCTGGCCATGTCAGCGATGCCCACATCCCATAAAAGAACAAAATAATGTTTTCTGCTAACGAGCATACACAGCATGCCAATTGTATTAGAATTAGTGTATTGGTTTGTCTGAGACTTGCTGCAGACATGCTGCTGTATCAGAATAGCAAGTGATTAGGATGGAATGGAATATAAGAACAATGAGATTACAACTGTAGTACTGTGCACAGTTTAGTCTCATTTGAAACTGTTTAATTGTTTCAGAAGCAGTTCACAGACTGTTCACTTGACTCATTTCTGGGATAAAGGACTTAGCATGTGAAGAAAGGTTAAGCCTATATCCAGTGCAGTTTGGACAAGAGAGGGTCTTGAGACAGATAGCAAGAACTGCAGATGCTGGAGTCAGAGATAACGCAGTGTGGAGCTGGAGGAACACAGGCAGGCCAGGCAGCATCAGAGGAGCAGGAAAGTTGACATTTCGGGTCAGGACCCTTCTTCAGAAATGGGGAAGGGGTAGGAAGCTGGCAAATAAATAAAGAGAGGAGGGTATGGGGCTGGGGAAGGTAGGTGGGATGGTGGTCGGTGAGTACAGGTAGGGAGTGGTGGGGATTAGTCAATGGGATGGGAGGGGCGGAGAGGTGGGAGAGAAGATGGACAGATTGTGTCAGGTCAAGGAGGCTGGGCTGAGAGAGGAGCTTGGACATGGGCCAGGATTGGGGAGATTTTAAAACAGATGAATTCCATTGTTTGGCCATCAGGCTGTAAGCTCCCGAGGTGGAATATGAGGCGTTGCTCCTCTAGTTTGCGGATGGTGTCATTGTGACACTGGAGGAGAGCCAGGATGGAAATATCACCCAGGGAGTGGGAGGGGGAGTTAAAATGGCTGGTGACCGGAAGGTGTTGTCGTTTGTTGTGTGCAGAGCACAGATGCTTTACGAAACGGTCTCCAAGTCTATGCTTGGTCTCACCGATGTACAGGAGGCCACATTGGGAGCAGCGGATACAGTAGACCATGTTGACAGATGTGCAGGTGAATCCCTGTCTGATATGAAAGGTTTGTTTTGGGCCTTGAATGGAGGTGAGGGGGGAGGTGTAGGGGCAGGTATAGCACCTCCTGCGGTTGCAGGGAAAGGTGCTGGGGGTGGTGGGGTTAGTGGGGAGTGTGAAGCGGATGAGGAAGTCGCAAAGAGACCGGTCCCTACGAAAGGCAGATAGGGATGGGGAGGGAAATATTTCTTTGGTGGTGGTGCCAGATTGTAGGCGGCAGAAGTGGCGGAGAATGATATGCTGAATGCGGAGGTTGATGGGGTGATATGTGAGGACCAGGGGGATTCTGTCTTCATTTTTGTTGGGAGGGGGTGTGAGGGCAGAAGTGTGGGAAATGCAAGAGATGCAGTTGAGGGCATTTTCGATCACCGGAGGGGGGAAGTTACGTTCTTGAAATAGCAGGACATCTAGATGTTTGGGAGTGGAATGCCCCATCTTGGGAGCAGACGCGCCGGAGGCAGAGGAATGTGGAGTAGGAGATTGCATTTTTGCAGGAAGGTGAGTGAGAGGAGGTGTAGTCCAGGTAGCTGTGGGAGTTGGTGGGCTTGAAATAGACGTCAGTTTCGAGGCCATCACCAGAGATGGAGACAAAGAGGTCCAGGAAGGAGAGGGAGGTATTGGAGATTCCAGGTGAATTTGAGGTTGGGGTGAAAGGTGTTAGTAAAGTTGATGAACTATTCAAGCTCCTCATGGGAGCACAAAGCAGTGCCAATACAGTCATCGATGTAGTGGAGGAAGAGGTGGGGGATAGTGCCAGTGTAACAGTGGCAAAGGGACTGTTCCATGCATCCTACGAAGAGGCAGACATAGCTTGGGCCCATGCAGGTTCCCATGGTCACTCCCTTAGTCTGTAGGAAGTGGGAGAAGTTAACACAGAATTTGTTCAGGGTAGGGACAAGTTCTGGTTAAGTGGATGAGGGTGTTGATGGAGGGGGACTGGTTGGACCTGCAGGAGAGGAAGAAGTGAAGAGCTTTTAGGCCATCTGCGTGGGGGATACAAGTGTACAGGGATTGGATGTCCATAGTGAAGATGCGGTGTTGGGGGCCAGTGACTTGGAAGTCTTTGAGGAGGTCGACGGCGTAGGTGGCATCCCAGACATAGGTTAGGAGTTCCTGGACCAAGGGGGAGAAAATAGAGTCGAGGTAAGCGGAGATGAGTTCAGTGAGGCAGGAGCAGGCAGAGAGAATGGGTCAACCAGGGAAGTTTATGGATTTTGGGAAGGAGATGGAAATGGGCAGTGTGGGGTTGGGGAACGATGAGGTTCGAGGCTGTGGGTGGGAGGTCACCTAAGGTGATGAGGTTATGTTTGGTCTGAGAGACGACGGTTTGGTGGACAGGGGTGGGGTCATAGTCGAAGGGGGCGGTAGGAGGAGGTGTCAGAGAGTTGGCGCCTGGCCTTGGCTATGTAAAGGTCAGTGCACCATATTGAAGGATGTTCAAGTCTGAGGGCATTGGATATGTGGGGGATGTTTCCTCTGGTGGAAGAAACCGAAACTAGGAGGTGTATTTTAAGACTGGGAGGCCTTGTTTTTAAGAGAGAAATGAGAAGAAGTTTGTTCTAGCAAAGGGTTATTGGCCTGTGGAATTCTTTACGTGAGTGTAAGAGCAGCGAGGTTATGCTGCAGCTCTATAAAATCCTGGTTAGACCACACTTGAAATATTGTGCTCAGTTCTGGTCACTTCATTATAGGAAGGATGTGGAAGCTTTAGAGAGGGTGCAGAGGAGACTTAACAGGATGCTGCCTGGACTGGAGGGCAGGTCTTATGAGAAAAGGTCGAGGGAGTTAGGGCATTTTTCATTGGAGCGAAGAAGGATGAGAGGTGACTTGATAGAGGTGTACAAGATGATGAGAGGCGTACAAGATGATGAAAGGCATAGATAGAGTGGATAGCCAGAGACTTTTCCCCAGGGCGGAAATGACTACTATGAGGGGGCATCATTTTAATGTGATTGGAGAAAGGTATAGGGGAGATGTCAGAGGTAGGTTCTTTACACAGAGAGTGGTGGGCGTGTGGAATGCGCTGCCGGCAGTGGTAGTGGAGGCAGGTACTTTAGAGACTTTTAAGCGACTCTTGGATAGGCACATGGAGGACAGCATAATGTAGGGTATGCAGGGTAGTTTGATCTTAGTAGGATAATAGTAGTGTCAGCACAACATCGTGGGCCGAAGGACCTGTACTGTGCTGTACTGTTCTATGTTCTATGTTCCAGAAGGTTACAGAGCCTGGGTCTTTAAATTTATTAAAGTCTAAGTTAGCTAGGTTTGTGATACACAAGACAGTTAAAGATCATGAAATACAGAAAGTAGAGCTGACATCCTAAAGAGATCAGTCACAATCTTATTGAATGGTGATGCAGCCTCAAAGGTCTAAATGGCCCACACTTGTTTCTAACTCCTATGTTCCTAAGGTTATCTCTGCCACTCAATCTACCATAAAGGAATCATGAATTTACATCCTGAGTAATTAAATAACTGTTGTTATTAAATGCCTGTTAAATAAGTTCTTACAGGTTCAATAGAAATCCACACCCCTCAACGTTTTGGGGATTCAGAGAATTTTGGCAAATCTTTGGTAATGGTATATATGGTGATGGAGAATAATAAAGCAGGGATCAGCACACAATCCAGAATGAAAAAAAAACTGACCTTTCTCTTTTCCCGTTACAAAGTTAGTTTTCCTGAAGCCAATTTCAAGAGCACCATGAGAGGCTTGAGTCTTTAGACAATCTGAATTGAAGTTGAGATTTAATGGTCTGCATGCTGCCAGACCCTCAGAGTTTCATCAGCATGTTCTGTGTTTGTCTCAACTATTTGTCAGATTTATTATCTAAGTAATTGAAAAGTATTGAAGCATTGCTAATTTCTTCAGAGATAGTAGGAACTGCAGATGCTGGAGAATCTGAGACAACAAGGTGTAGAAGGGTCTAGGCCTGAAACGTCAGCCTTCCTGCTCCTCTGATGCTGCTTGGCCTGCTGTGTTCATCCAGCTCTACACCTTGCTAATTTCTTCTTGTTTTGGGTACAATATAAACAGACACAATATTTCCAATGAATATTTGCGTACCTCACACCAAAAACATTATTGAAAGTCTTTTTCTGATGTATGTTTTTTTGATTCATTTTTTTTGTGGGATGTGGGTGCCAGCATTTACTGCCCGTTCCTAGTTGCCCTTGAGAAGGTGGTGGTGAGCTGCCTTCTTGAACCACTGCAGTCTACCTGCTGTGGGTTGACCCACATTCTTATATGACTAACTCACAGCTTTATTGTTGGAACTGATCAATTTTCTTTTGTAGATTCTGAGCTGTACATTACCACTAATTGATTCTTCCAGTTTTAATAGTAAGATTTAACACTGTTTCACTGGCCTTTACATTTTCTTGTTTATTTTTGACTGGTTAGATCAAATTACCAGACAAATTCAGCTGTTGTAAGATCTGGCAGTGTGATGTTTACTTCATTTTGTGCTGTAATTGCTTGTCTTAACAGAGAAATGTGCAAGACGAATTGGTGCAAGTTCAACCCAAATTTAAAGCTAACCTGCTGGAGTCAGTGGATGTTTTTCAGAAAGAAGTGCTCAAATATGGAAGACAATATGAGAAAGTAGGTTGTAATAATATTAGATCAACAGAATGTACTGGACTAGAAAGGATTATTGTATTTATTCTGTCATGGGATACGGGACATCAATGGCAAGGTGGTTTGTTGTCTATTACGAATCACTCATGAGAACATGACATGAAGCTACATTCTTCAGTTCTGAAGAAGGGTCACTGGACCCAAAACCTTAACTCTGCTTTCTGTTCACAGATACTGCCTGACTCGCTGAGTCTTTCCAGCAATTTCTGATTTTGTTTGTGAACAACTGCAGTCCTCCTGGTGTAGGTACACCACAATGTTTTTAGGAAGGGGGATTCAGAATCTTGATCTAGTGACAGTGAAGAGTTTTAAGTCAATTTTTCAAATCCGATATGACTTTTCCTCAGTACTAAGGTTCTGAAGCAGAGTCATTGGACTTGAAACGTTAACTCTGTTTTTTTCTCTCCACAGATCCGCCAGACCTAGACCATAAGAAATAAGAACAAGAGTGGGCCATTTTGCCCCTCAAGCCTCCTCAGTCATTCAGTAGGATTGTGGCTGATCAGATGTTCCTCATGTCCACTTTCCTGCCATTTCCTCGTAACCCCAACTAATCAAGAATATATCTCAGCATTAAATACACACACAGACTCTTCCCCTACAGCCCTCTGCGGCAAGAAATTCCATAGACTCTCAATCCTCTGACAGAAGAAATTCATCCTTATCTCAGTCTTAAATTGGCACCCCTTTATTCTGAAACTATACCTTATGGTCCTTACTCTCCCATGAGGGTAAATATTCTCACTGCATTTACCCTGTCAAGCCCCCTAAGAATTTCACATTTTTCAATAAGATCATCTCTCATTCTTCTAAACTACTGTGAGTAGAATCCCAACCTGTTTAGCCATGCTTATAAGACAATCCTTTCATACCAGGAATCATTCTAGTGAACCTTCTATGAACTGCCTCCAATGAAATGATATATTTCCTTTAACAAGGGACCAAAACTGCTCACAGTACTCCTGATGTGGTCTCCCCAACACCTTGTACAGTTGCAGTAAGACTTCCCTACTCTTATACTCCAACCCCCTTGAATTAAGGGGTAACATTCTATTAGCCTTCCTGATTACCTGCTGCACCTGTGAGCTAGCTTTCTGTGTTTCATGCACAAGTACACCCAAGTCCTTTTGTGTTGCAGTATTCTGCAGTTTTTCTCCATTTAACTCATACATTGTTCTTTTGTTCTTCCTTTCCAAATGAACAACTTCACATTTTCCGATATTATACTCCATTTGTCAACTCTTTGCAAACTTACGTAACCTATTAATATTTGACTATGAGCTGTTTGTATCCATCTTGCAACTTGCCTTTGCACCTATTTGTGTTGTCTACTAATTTGGCTATAGCTCATTTGTGTCCTTTTACCATGTCTATGTATATAACACTTGCAGTCCCAGCACTGATTACTGTGCAACCCCTCTGTTCACAGATCGCTAACCTGAAGAAGAATTCCTTGTCCCCATGCACTGTTTCCTGTTATTAGTCAATATTCAATCCATGCCAATATACTACCTTCAGCACCATGGACTCTTTGATTTGTTGTGATTAATTTATTGTCACATGTACCGAAATACAGTGAAAAGCTTTGTTTACAAGTGGTACAGGCAGATCACAGCAAGCAAAGGATGCACATATCAAGACTTAGAGGCATACAGGTTACATTGCAGGTTACATTATTTGAGGCTAGAGTCCATTCAACAGTCTGATAATGGCCAGAAAGAAGCTGTTCTGATGACTTAACCTTTTCGAATGCCTTCTGGAAGTTCAAATACAACACCTCCATTGGTTCCACTCTATTTGAGACTTCCTCAAAAATCTAATACATTAATCAGATATGATCTCCCTTTTATGAAACAATTTTGAATGTGCTTGATTAGATTATAATTTTCCAATCTGCTGTTATTACTTCCTTAATATTTTTCCAATAAATGATTTTAGACTAATTAGCCTTTTGTTACCAGCTTTTTGCATCCTTCCCTTTTTGAATTGGACTGTCACATTGGCAGTTTTCCAATTTCCGATATTTCTCTAGAATCAAGGATTCTTGGAAAATGATAAGCAATGCATCATTAATCTCTGCAACTACTTCTTTTAGGTTCCTAGGATGCAAGCCATCAGGGCCTGGAGATTTACCTGCTTTTAGACCCACTAATTTATCTAATACTAATGCTCTAGTGGTGATGTTGGTACTCAATTCTTCCCTTGTATTCTTTAGTATTAATGGGATGTTTGAAGTATCTTCCACCGTAAAGACTGATGCAAGATATCTGTTTAACGTCTTTTCAATTTTCTTGTTCTCCATGACTGCCTATCCAGATTCATTTTCTAAGGAGCCTATGTTCACTTTGGCCTCTCTCTTCCTTTTTATGTCTTTAATGAAGGTCTTATTGTCAATTTTTTATATTACTCCCTAATTTGCTCTCATAGTTTATTTTCTCTGTCTTTATAATTTTTTTAGTCTCTGCTGATGGATTCTGAATTTACCCTATCACTGACTTTTGCTTCTTTACATGCTTTTTCTTTCAACTTAATACTCGCCTCAACTTCTTTGGCTAGCCATGGTTGGTTTATCCCTATCTTAGGATTTTTCTTCATTGCGAGGATATGTTCTTGCTGAGAGTCATGAATTACCTTCAATGTCTGCCACTGCTTGTTTACTGCCTTTCCTGCTAATCCATCCACCCAGTCCACTTTAGCTAAACTTATCCTCATTTTCATTGTTGTGCCCTTTATTTAAGTTAAATATAGTTGTACCCAACCCAAGTTTCTCACACTCAAAATAAATATTAAAATTTATCATTTTATAATCACTGCTTCCTAAAGAATATTTATTCTGAAGTTATTTGTTAAATCTGCCTCATTGCCCGTTACCAGATCTAGGGTAACCTGTTCCCCAATAGGTTCCATGACATTGCTATAGAAAACTGTACCGACTGCAATCTATGAATTTGTTGTCACGGGTACCTTTCCCTACTTGATTGGCCCAATCAACATGAAGATTTAAGACATTCATGATGGTTGCTTTATTCTTTTTACATGCCCATATTATTTGTTGATTTATATGCTTTCCTACGCTGTAGCAACTGTTTGGGAGTTTATACACTAATCTGACCAATGCCTTCTTTCTCTTGCTGTTATTTACCTCCACCCAGATAGACTCTACATCATTCGAGCTGGAATTATCTCTCACAACTGTCCTCATTTCACCTCTTATTAAAACTGCTACCATTTCCTTCCCTTCTGTCTTTCTGAACGCTCAAATATCCCTGAACATTAAGTTCCCAGTTCTTATCTCCTTGTAACTACAGCTCCATAATGGCAACAAGTTCATATCCATTTATCTCAATTTGCGCCATCAGTTCTTTTACCTTATTCCAAATGGTTTGTACAGTAAGATATAAAGCCTTTAAGCTTGGCTTTTTGCCATTTCTTGTATTGTGTCCCTATTTTCCCTTTGCCCTTGATTACCCTGATAACCATTTTTGCATTTTATTAAGCTTTTTTATTACTGTTCTTGTTTCTCTTTTTCTTGCCACCCTGCATACATTCCCATCCCTGCAATTCTAGTTTAAACCTGCGCCAACCACTCTCTCAAATACTTGCCTGAAGACATATGTCCCAGTTGCCCATTCAGTTTGTATTCGTCCCACCTCCCCTAGAGCCATCCCAATATCCCAGGATTGGATCACATGGAAAACAGGAAGAAATAGCCATTTTGATACAGAACTGCCTCGAAGATAGAAGACAGAGGGTAATGGTGGAGGGTTGCTTTTCAGACTGGTGGCTTGTGACCAGCAGTATGCCACAAGGATCAGTGCTGGATCAACTGCTTTTTGTCATTTATAGAAATGATTTGGATGAGAACATAGGAGGTATAGTTAGTAAGTTTGCAGATGACGCCAAAATTGGAGGTGTAGTGGACAGTAAAGAAGTACAACGAGACCTCGAACAAATGGGCCAATGGGCCGAGGAGTGGCAGATAGAGGTTAATTCAGATAAATGTGAGTTGTTGCATTTTGGAAAGGCAAACCAGGGCAGGACTTATACATTTAATAGTGAGGTGCTGGGGAGTGTTCGTGAAGAAAGAGACCTCGGAGTGAAGGTTCATTGTTCCTTGAAAGTGGAGTTGCAGATAGAATAGGATAGTGAAGAAGGCATTTGGTGCGCTTGCCTTTATTGGTCAGTGCATTGAGTATAACAGTTGGGAGGTCATGTTGCGGCTGTACAAGACATTGGTTAAGCCACTTTTGGAATTCTGCGTTCAATTCTGGTCTCCCTGCTATAGGAAGGATATTGTGAAACTTGAAAGGGTTCAGAAAAAATTTACAAGGATGTTGTTAGGGTTGGAAGGTTTGAGCTATTGGGAAGATGCTGATTAGGCTGGGGCTATTTTCCCTGGAACATTGGAGACTGAAGGGTGACCTTATAGAGGTTTATAAAATCATGAGGCGCATGGATAGGGTGAATAGCCAAGGTCTTTTCCTGGAATGGGGGAGTCTAAAACTAGAGGGTATAGGTTTAAGGTGACAGAGGAAAGATATAAAAGGGACCTAAGGGGCAACATTTTCACACAGAGGATGGTGCATGTATGGAATGAGCTGCCAGAGGATGTGGTGGAGGCTGGTACAATTGCAACATTTAAAAGGCATCTGGATGGGTATATGAATAGAAAGGGTTCAGAGGGATATGAGCCAAATGCTGCAAATGAGACTCGATTAATTGAGGAAATCTGGTTGGCATGGACGAGTTGGACTAAAGGGTCTGTTTCCATGCTGTACATCTCTATGACACTATGAATCTGAAACCCTCCCCCTCACACCATCTTTCTAGCCATGTATACAACTGATATATCCTGCTGTTCTATGTTATAACACATGACACTGGTTGTAATCCTGAGATCACTATCTTTGAGGTCCTACTTTTCAACTTACTTGCTAACTCCCCGCTATATTTGGTTTTTAAAACCTCATCCCTTTTGTTAACCCACATTTTTGGTACCAATGGAAGGTCACTGGCTGTTCACTCTCCCTCTCCAGAATGTCCTGTAGCTCCTTCAAGACATCCTTGATTCTTGCACCATGGTGACAACATTCTATCCTGGAGTCTCATTGGTGGTCACAGGACATGCAGCAAAGGACAAAGAATGATACAACACCGGAACAGGCCCTTTGGCCCACCAAGCCTGCTCTGACACATGACACCTTTTTAAAACTATCACCTTTTTGCTTCTTATGTGGCAAGTCCAGTTGAGTTTCTGGTCAATGGTAACCGCCAGGATGTTGATAGTTGGGGATACCTGCTGGGACATGATCTGTCTTTCCCACCCCACCCAACCACTCTCTAGACATGTCACCTCTCCCACTGGACCTGAATCACTCTCTACCTCCACTACCCCTAGATTGACACCCTCCCTCCCCAGCTCCCTCACCCCACTCTGAATGTGATTTCTTGCATCCATTCAGACCTATCCTGGACACTGCATCACTTACCTGGCCCCTCACCTCCTTGCCCCTGGCAACCTGTCGACCATCTTACATCTTACACCCTACTTGATTGGCATCGTACCCATTTGCCATCCTATCCACCTGACTACAATTCTAGACATTTAAATTTCAAAATACCTCAGCTGACTACTCTGAAAAGGGGACATGGATTGACTTGCCTGACAGTTCTGCTCAGGAGAGAACTGTGAGAATGGAAGTAAAGCTCCATTTTTTCTGACAGTCCTGTTAGAATCTCCTGTCAGAAATGCGGAGCTCTGTCCTTTGGTAAAAAAGCAGGAACAGAGTGGCAATTACTTTTGTTGGCAAATCCAGCTCAATGTTGTGACTCTGTTTGCAGGTGGTCTGTTTTGAGTTCCTCGTTGCACACATTGAAACCACTTGTTTGTTCTAATGCCTGATTTATCACTGATAATTTACAATTGTAAATAAACTAACTCATGGAGTTAATTAATCCCTGACAAGTGATTATTAGACCAACATTTTGAACATGACAGTGCCTCAATCAGAATCCATTTGCCAACCAATGCACACTCTCTTCTCAGGGAGCGTAAATAGAGTGTTTTCCCGCAACATTTTTTGGAAATGGGAGTCTGTTTAGCTCAGTTGGCTCAATGCAGAGTGATACCAACAGCATGGATTCAATTTCTGCATTGGCTGAGATTACTGTGATGGACTGTCCTTCTCAGTCTCTCCCCTTGTTTGAGATATGATGACTCTCAAGTTAAACCACCATCCATGGGCTCTTAAGGCACAGTGGTACTATTTCTATTTCTGAGACAGGAGGCATGGGTTCAAGTTCCACCTGCTTCAGAGGTGTCTCAAAACATCTTTGAAAAGATTGGTTAGGAAAAAATCCCCTCCCAAACCACCACTAGCCATCTGTTTCTTTAAGAAAAGAGCAGCGCTATGGGTTGATAGGACCATGAGGGCTTGATCTTGATCTTGTAAATGGTCCTGATGAATACAAGACAATTAGCTTTGGCAAAAGACTTATTATCTAAATTCATTTACATATGTACATACATATATATCAAGGAAGCCACATTTACTATTGCTCGGCAGTGATATACTGTGTAACATGTGAGCAATCTATGGATTATTCACAGGGTGTGCTCCATCTAGAGTGCCTTGAACTGACAATTGGACTTTTTACACAGAAGTGGAATTTGACTTTTTGTTTTGCTGGGTTGATTCTGTCAAACAGAATTTTTCTGTCAATCCATTACAATTACATGTTTTATGGGCACAATGTGGTATTCCTGCATCAGAAACCTGACATACGTTTTAGTAAAATGGATCTAGTTATAACATTTGTGGAATGTTATTGATGCCAGCATTAATTTTGATATAAAATAAAGATAGAATTTGTATTCTTACCAGACCTTTTGAAGTGCACAGTGCATTAGAAAAATTAATTACATCATGTCACATTGTTAGATCAGTAAGTAGTTTCACCTTGTGTTTATCTCTAAGAACTCCAGTCGTGAACTTAGTGTGGATTAATACTTCTAACACTTTCTGAATTCTCTAATTGCTGGGTTGAAGTTAGTTGCTGATACAGAACACACATTTTCATATAAAATCAATTTTGTGAACATTGTATTTCATTATGTTGTTTTAGGAAGGCCCAATGGTACCGGGTATTGCACCTGCAGAAGCCAGCACCAGATTACAGATCTTTCAGGTAACAATAAAGGAATAACAGTGTGTGAGTTGATGGTTAAGGGCAATTAAACAACAGAAAAATGTCTCAAAACTTTACAAGTGTTCTCGTATGAATTCTTGCAAACATATAACTTTCCTGTGGTTTGCCAACTTCAGTTCAGGTCAGTTTTCACATTTTCTTTCATCGACTCGTGGGACTTGGCTGTTGATGTTTTGGTTAGCATTTATAAACCATCCCTTGTAGCCGTTGAGTAGGTAGTGGCGAGCAGCTGTCTTCAAATGTTGCAGCCCATATGTCATACTGTTAGGGAGGAAATTCCAGGATTTTGACCCATTGACAGTGAAAGAGTGGTGATATATTTCCAAGTTAGGATAGTAAGTGGTTTGGAGGAGAAGTTCTAGGTGATGGTGTTCCCGTGTGTCTGCTGCCCTTCTTCTTCTAGACAGTAATTGCTATTGGTTTGTAACATACTGTCTAAGGATCCATGGTGAATTACTGCAGTGCATCTTAGGAATGATACACACCTCTGTTACTGAGAGTTGGTGCTGGAGTGACTGTTCATGGATGTGGAGTCAATCAAGGAACCGCTTTGCCCTAGATGGTGTCAAGGTTCTTGAGAATGATTGGAATTACCCCCACCCAGGCAAGTGAGGAATATTATATCACAATCCTGACTTGTGCCTTGTAGATGGTGGACAGGATCTGGGGAGTCAGGAGATGAGTTGGGTGAGGTATTGCTAGCCTCTGACCTGCTCTTCTAGCCACTGTTTTTATCTGGTAAGTTCAGTTCAGTTTCTCATCGATGGTAATCTGCAGGATGTTAATAGTAGGAGATTCAGTATTGGTAATGCCATTCATTGACTGTCAAGGGGCAGTAGTTAAATTGTCTCTTATTGGAAATGATTAGTGCCTGACATTGCGTGGCATGAATGCTATTTGCAACCTGTCAGCCCAAGCCTGGATATTTTTCAGGTATTGTTGCATTTGGATATGGATACCTGAGGAGTTGGGAGTGATGCTGAATATTGTGCAATCTTTAGCGAACACCCTCACTCTGGCCTTATGAAGGAGGCAAGGTTATTGTTGAAGTATCTGAAGATGGTTGGGCCTAGGACTGTACCCTGATGAACTCCTATGTAGATGTCCTGGAGCTGAGATGACTGACGTCCAACAACCACATCCATCTTCCTATATTCCAGGTATGACTCCAAACAGCGGAGAGTTTGTCCCCCGATTCCCATTGATTCCAGTTTGGCTAGAGCACCTTGATGACACACCCAGTCAAATACAGCCTTGATGTCAAGAGAAGTCACTCTCACGTCACTTTTGGAATTTAGATCTTTGGTCCATGTTTGAACTAATACTGTACTGAGGTCAGGAGCTGAGTGGACCTGACAGAACCTGCAGATTATCACTGAGCAGGTGCTGCTTGACAGTACTGTTGATGACATCTTCCATCACTTTACTGATGATCAAGAGTGGACTAAGTAATTATTGACTTGGATTTGTCCTGCATTGTGTGTACAGGACTTACCTGGGTAATTTTCTATGTTGTTAGTTAGGTGCCAGTGGTGTAACCGTACTGGAACAATTTGACAAGGGGAGCGACAAGCCCTGGAGCACAAATCTTAAGTGTTATTGCAGGAATGTTGTCGGAGCCCATGGCCTTTGCACTATCGAATATCTACAACTGTTTCTTCATATCACGTGGAATAAATTGAATTGGCTGAAGACTGGTATCTGTAATGCTGGGGACCTCTGGACGAGCAGCTGAGATGGATCATCCACTCGGCACCTCTGACTGAAAAATTGGTACAAGTGCATCAGCCTTATCTTTAGTACTGATGGCTGTTCCAACATTGAGGAGGGGGATACTTGTGAAGCTACGTTGGTGAGTACGACTGGATGTGGCAGGACAGCAGAGTTTAGATCAGAACCGTTGGTTGTGGGCCGACTTAGTTCCATCTATCACTTGCTGTTTATGCTGTTTTGCATGCAAGTAGTCCTATTTGTAGGTTCACTAGGTTGACGTCTCAATTCTGCACATGCCACGTGCTGTTTTTGCTATGCCCTCCTACACACTCCATTGAACCCCAGGGCTGATCTCTTGGCTTGATGGTAATGGTTGAGTTGAACATATTCCAGGCCATGAGGTTTCAGATTGTGTTAGAGTATGATTCTGTTGCTGTTGTTGGCCCAGAGCACATCAAATCTGCCCCATTTAATATGGTGATAGTGCCATATGGGATGATGTAAGGTATTCTCAATGTGAAGGTGGGACTTCATTTGGGCAGGGATTGTGCAGTGTTCACTCTTACCAATACTGTCATGGACAGATGTACCTGTGACTAGAAGATTGGTGAGGATGAGGTCAAATATGGTTTTCCCACTTGTTGGTCTCCCTCACCACCTGCTGCAGACAAAGTCTAGCAACAGTGTCCTTTTGGACCTGACCAGCTCAATCTGTTGTGCTGTTGCTGAGCCACTCTTGATGGTAGACATTGAAATCCTCCTACCAGTGTACATTCTGAGCCCTTACTACCTCTGTGTTTCTTCCAAATGTTGTTGAACATGGAGAAGCACAGAGTAATCTGCCGAGAGAGGACGGTAGGCGGTAATCTGCAGATTTCCTTGCCCATGTTTGACCTAATGCTATGAGACTTCATGGTGTCTGGAGTCAATGCTGAGGTCTCCCAGGGCAATTCCCTCTGACTGTATAGCACCATGCTGCCATCTCTGCTGGGCCTATCCTGCTGGTGTGTCAGGACATATCTAGGAGTGGTGAAGGTTGTGTCTGGACTATGTCTGAAATGTATAGTTCCATGAGTTTTGACTATGACAGGCTGTTTCTTGTATAGTTTGGGAGACGGCTCTCCCAATTTTAACACTAGTCCCGAGATGTTACTTTGCAGGGCTGACAGGGCTGTTATTGCTATTGTCATTTTTGGTGCATAGGTCAATGCTGTCTGGTTTCATTTCTTTCTTTGAGACATCATGGCGTATATTACAATTAAGTGGTTTGCTCGGCTATTTCAGGGGCAGTTGAGAGTTAATCACATTACTGGGAATCTGGAGTCACATGTAGGCCAGACCAGGTAAAGATAGCAGTTATCCTTCCTTGCAGGACATTAGTGAATACCAGATGGGATTTTCTGATAATTGATACTGATTTAAAATGTCATAATTAGACTCTTAATTCTAGAAATTTATTGAAATCGAGTGTACTTGCCATACAAATACAGTGGCTACAAGAGCAATGGTGTGGAGGTGCCTGTGTTGGAGTAGGGTGGACAAGGTCAGAAGTCACACTACGCAAGGTTATAATCCAACCAGTTTATTTGAAATCACAAGCTTTTGAAACACTGCCCCTTCATCAGGTGAAGTGCAGAGAGGCACATAGGCACCGAATTTATAGCAGAGAGATCAAAAGTTCATGCAAATGGTGTGAGTGGAGTTTCAACAGGTTGAATAATAAGTCTCTGCAGGTGATCAAAAGTGTCAGACGGTGTGAGTAAAGATTCATCAGCTGAATAGCGAGTGAAAGGCATGACCTATAAACCAATTAATTGAGGCAGGGAGATAATTACATAAAATTGAAAATAAGGAGACAAACCAAATAACTGGAATAACATGATAGGTATAAGACCAAAGTAACAAGCAATATGAAACTGCACAAACCAATTAAGGTAGAGAGATCGTAGCAAGCTGTCAAGAAGTTTACACCATCCAGGGGAAAGCAGCCCATTTAGTCAGGGGGACCAACTTGTCACTGCACCTCACCAACAGAAGGAAGTCCCTCAGAATATCAAGCTGCTTCAAATGGGACCAGTGGGGTCAACTGAGTCATGTATCTCCAAGCCAGGGCTGTTCATATCCAGGATGGATACAGCAGCTGCATCACTGGGCAATGCCAGCCAGTCAGATGGTCACATTTGCTGAATAGCAAGAGCTTTCAGAAGTCTGAGCGACTGTACCAGAAAAGGCTCCTGAGACTGGAAGGAGCTCTTCTATAAACTGCCATCCCCTTAGAGATTAATCATATTAATGTAGACTATAGTAACAATGCTTGCTTGGCGGTGGGGCTGGGGGGCGCGGGGGAGGGGAATGGAGTGTCCATTTGCATGTGTTCCATGTTTTTGTAAATATTCCTGACAATGTACATATGTTGGCTACAATGCCTGAGTAATATTTACAATTGCTGTATTTATGTTCATTGATAGAAGTTGTTGAAATAAAGAGGGAGGGAAATTATGTATGTAATGTTGGGCCTGGGGGCATGCTGCCCTTTAAGAGAGTGGGTCAGGTAACCTGGAGTAGGAGCTTTGGGTCAGTCTAGGTCTGACTGTATAGCTGTAAAGACATATCTGGTTCAAGTTCTATCTTGCGATCTTTTTGTAATTTGTAAATTAGAAAACTAATAATTTACATAATAAGACATAATAATAGGGCAGGTGGCCTAGTGGTATTGTCACTGGACTGTTAATCCAGAGACCCAGCTAGTGTCTTGGGGGCCTGGGTTCGAATTCCACCACAGCAGATGGTGGAATTTGAATTCAATAAACATCTGGAATTAAGAGTTTAATGATGGCCAAGAATCCATTGTCAATTGTCAGGAAAAGCCATTTGGTTCCCTAATGTCCTTTAGGGAAGGAAACTGCCATCCATACTTGGTCTGGAGTTTCTGGATGAATAATTTAGCAACAATACTACTAGGCCATCACGTCCTCCAGAGCAGATGTATATTTCATCTTGTTTGGATCAGTTTTTGCCTGAAGGTTTAAAACCTTTCTCGGCATTTTTAAAATAAATGGCACTTCTTATCTACATGTATCTCAGGGATTTATTTGTTTCAAACTTCAAGGTTTGTGGATAAGGAATGAAATTCAACATAAAATTAATTTTGATTCTTGTTCCAAGATGATCAGAGGATTAGATAGGGTGGACAGTGGGAGCCTTTTTCCTCGGATGGTGATGGCTAGCACGAGGGGACATAGCTTTAAATTGAGGGGTGTTAGATATAGGACAGATGTCAGAGGTAGGTTCTTTACTCAGAGAGTAGTAAGGGCGTGGAATGCCCTGCCTGCAAAAGTAGTAGACTCGCCAACTTTAAGGGCATTTAAATGGTCATTGGATAAACATATGGATGATAATGGAATAGTTTAGGTTAGATGGGCTTCAGATTGGTTTCACAGGTCGGCGCAACATCGAGGGCCGAAGCGCCTGTACAGCGCTGTAATGTTCTATGTTCTATGTTCCCATTCATTTAATTTGCACATTTTACTTTAACCTGCGCTTGATTATCTGAAGTATCTAATGCGATAAAACTGTTTATCTTCATTATTATTGCAAGCTATTTTAAATCAATTCAAATGCTAAGGTCTTGCTTCAGATTTCCTTTAACCAAAAGTGTTTTGTTTTGCACATAAATAGACAGATAATAGTAAGTTATCCTTTCACCATTGTCAAGGACAATTAGAGATGGGCAATGAATCCTGGTCTAGTCAGCATCACACATATCCCAAAGGAATAAACAAAAATCTTGAATATAATAGATCACCAGTGGTGGTGATGATACAACTTTGCCTTAGTCTTTTTACAAGTCCACAATGCTTGTGTAATTACCTGCTAAATGTTCATATCTACTAAACTATGAACCTTACCAAAATGTTTCTGAAACTCCAGGAGAATCTAATTAGAACATAAGAAATAAGAGTAGGTAAAAATCTAAAAATCTATCTATCACCTTTAAATACTTTCAGTGATCAAACCCCACTACTCTCTGGAACAGAGAATTCCAGATATTCAGTACCATTTAGGAGAATGCATCCCTTTGCATCTCACTTTTAGATGAGTTTACCCTTATTCTGTAACTATGTCCCCAATAAACATTTTCTCAACATTTACCCTATCAAGCCCCCTCATAATCTTGTAGATTTGAATGAAACCATCCCTTGTTTTTCTCAATGTTAGTGAATAAAGGTCTAAACTGTTTAGCCATTCTTGATATGTCAATCCCTTCATGCCAGTGATCAGCCTAGTGAATTTCTTTTGAACTGCAACCACTGCTAGTATGTCCTTTCTAAACCATGGAGACCAAAGCTATACACAGTGCTCCAGGTGTGATCTTAATGCGTATTGTACAATAATGACAGGACTTGCCTACTTTTAAACTCTTGCCTCCTTGCAATAAAAGTCAAAATTCCATTAACTTTCTTAATCACTTGATATGCCTGCATACTAATCTATTATATTTCATGCACAAGAACACACAGATCCCTCTGTGTTCCGCATTCTTGGAGTCCCATGCCATTTAAGATTCTTCCTGCCAAAGTGCATAACTTTGCACTTTTTACAATAGTCTCTGTCTGTTGAGTTTTTCCTCAGCCTATCTATAACCCCCTGCATATTCCTTAAGTTCTCATCCTGGAATGCCCTCCCACCTATTGTTGTATCATCAGCAAATTTTGATACATTGCACTCCACCCCTTCCTCCAAGTCATTCATAAAGACAGTGAATAATTAAAACCCTTAGATGGATCCTTGTAACATCCAGCAGTTACGTCTTTCCAACCAGAAAAAGGACCCATTAATTTGACTCTCCATCCTCTGCATGTTAACCAATCATTAATTGATGCCAGCGCATAACCCATTATCATATCTCCTGTCTTGAGCAAGGACCTTTTGTGTGACACCTTATTGAATACCATGTAGGTAAGCATTTCAAAATTCTTTACCACAAATGCAGTCAGCCAGTGGACTATTAGCGAAATGTAGAGATGCTGCCCACAATTTTTCGTCCATTCAAATTAGAGCAACATCTTGATTAACTCTAAAATCCCAGATTCCATCACTGGCGTTGGGTCAAGGAAGGTTTATTTCATGGTCAGCCATGGTTCAGCATGAATAATTCTTAAAGGAGTGAAGCTCCTAATTTAGATGTATGTGGCAATTAATTATATGGAAGTGCAAGAAAGATTCCCTTTTTAATGAGTGTATTTTCAAGTATTACTGGCTAACTGTCTATCATTACCAACTGATCTCTTGCGCAAAGATGTTTATAAACCTAATTATTGAACAAATTAGATTAGTGTGTAAGAAAACATAGTTTATAAAAATTGTACACATACAGAAGGAATCTTTATGTAATACCTGCAATTCAGAACACTTTGACTATCTCTGATGTCTGCTGTGATTTATTTCAGAGTTGGTTTGATGAGCTATGGCGGAAGTTTGTGACATACTCTTCAGGAGAGCGTTTATTTGGTTTGCCAGTACAAGATTATGAAATACTGCAGAAAAATAAGTAAGTTGTATTTGGCACTAGAATTAAACTGGGCTGATTTGCATGTGACTGCAAGTGGATATTTTACTGGTGTCAGGAATGCTTTAACTTACACTTGTAGCAAACCATACATAGAGTCATGTGTTGCATGTCTGAATATGCTGTGGAGCCTGATTTCAGATCACGCTTTCCACTGTGTGGGCAAGGACAAATTGCTGATTTGGTTGAGATTGCCCATGCTTTTTAGCTTGTCTTTTGACCATAACTGTCAATACACTTTGCTTTTCAAAGGAAGCACTGTTATGACTTGACATCACTCCGAGATTGCCCTTTCTTGTGTATTTTTCCTCCAATCCAGTGTGGGCATGCCACATTTCCAGAAGTTTCTCCTCAACAATTGGCTTACCACACAGGCAGTGTGGATGTATAAGGGGTGAACATCTGACATGCCTTTGGGATTTTATCATCAGTATCCACTATCTTTGTAGTTACTTCCTTTCATATCTTAAGGAACATCGCAACAGGTTCGTGGAACGTGTCAGTCTTTAACCCAATTAGTTTTTCTGGTTGAACACAGCAGGCCAAGCAGCATCATAGGAGCAGAGAGGCTGACGTTTCGGGCCTAGACCCTTCATCAGAAAAGGGGGAGGGGAAGGGGGTTTTGAAATAAATAGGGAGAGAGTGGGAGGCGGATAGAAGAGGGATAGAGGAGAGGATAGAGGA